GTTGTGAGCGTCGTAAAACACTTACACACACACACCCACCCACCCCCTCGACTTTTGCCCTTTTTTTCTACATGACATTATCATGACTCCGTGTAAGACCCCCCACCTGTCTAACATTTCCTCCCTCGGCGATTGGTGGCCGTCATGACAAGTGTAACTGTTTACGTGTCACGGCGTAGTGGAACCAGGCGCTCGTCAATTTTTGGGCATATAGGGTTATTGGTACCGTCTTAAAGCCTGTTCATTTTTCTTCTTTATGGGGAAAAAAGTACCCATCTATCTTGAATAGAAGTCGAGATATTAGGATTGAAGGAGGTCAGGGTCGCCTAGTTTCAGAGGTAAAATTAGCGAGAAAAAGGCCGCCAAAGTTTGGTAACTATTTTGAGAACTCCCCTCTCCGCACTAACCAATAATTTCAAAGCTGAAAAGATAGTCTCATATCATTTCCTTAATACCGAAGACTAAAACAAACTTATTATAATAGCCATGGCGATTCTTTTTTTTTTAACGCAAAACGTAAAATTAGTTGTATTTCTAGTAATATGCACTCTATATTTAGTCTAATTCTTCGGGTAAGTTAAAAATTGTTCTTGATGATCATGACGTGGCAGCTACTCAGATGTGGTCTGCTTACAATGGATACCCTGCGGATGCGACTTACTATTCCTTTGTCGAATAACATGGTGCACTGTGTAAGCTTATAACATCTGTTTTGATCATGCTCGACTCTTCAACTTCAACTGAAACAACATTTTTGTGCGTCAAAAAAATGTATAAAATATCCTCCCAAGTTCACTTAATTAAAGATAGGTGTAAATAAAATAAAAAGTAGGTGTCCATTTCAAACGAGTCTGTACGTCATATTGACATTAAAGCCGATTGCAAGCGACGCACAGCTACAAACAAACAGACGGACAGGGGGGCAGACAGAGATGGAGAGCTTGGCTGCTCTCGTGATCTGGTTACCCCGGAACTTTCTGACGCCTACCGTGTACGTATGACGCCTGGGCCGTTCCGTCACTCCAAAAGTAAACTAATATTAGCATAACGAATGCCCACCTCCCCT